TATCACAGTCACTGTCCATACTCCATCCGCGCACATTCCAAAACCCGCATTTCACCTAGTAGGACCCACGGCGGTTTTGTCCACGGTAACCACCATTCCTTCCGCGCCCGTTACTTCTTGGTGCCGATTTCGACCATCCGCTGTGATCCCCACCTGGTCGCGCACTATACCGATCACTGTTATCGTGATGATCACGAGAGTCACGATCACGACTGTTAGAACGCTGACTGTCACGGTTCTGAAAACCAGTAGAGTTCGCGCTTTCTCTATTATTAGTGCGCACCACACGAAAACCTTTCACTGACAAGTCACTTTTGTGGAGTGCATTAAGAATAGTCCGGAAGTTGCTGGACATCAACCTGTCTGCCGAAGATAGATCGTGGTTAATATAAACATGCTCATATTGTTGATTTTTTCTCAAGTCACGCTTTGCAGACATAACCTTTCGTTTATCGTCATGTGTGCTGAATTGGGCTATAATAACTCCCGGCTTTGATTCTACGGATGATTTCTTCCGGGATGCCGTAGAACAAGATATGCCTCTTATTTTTAGCCCATCACGGATGAGTTTGTTAACCTTTGCCCTCGTATCTTCTCCTTGAGTCTCCGAGAGTCCACGAATAACCACTTTTAGAGACCTGTCATCCGCTGTAGACCTTTGCTGACTCTGCACGTCTCTTACTGGCAAGCTGTCTATTCTAGCCTTAATGACATCCAATTCCTCGGTTATCTCGTCACGGAGTGAATCTTTCATAGACAATAATTTATCGTCGACATCTTTACGGATACGGTTAAGTTCAGTATTCACTCTTTTGTCCAGAATTTGGGACACTTTATTAGCTATTTTCTGCTCAATACCACTTTCAAGTTTATCCATGCGTTCTGTGATAGAGCCGAAAAGCATGTGCATATCCGCCGACAGTTTGTTGATCAAGTGCTCTACCGACGGGTTACCATTTGCATGTACATCCGCATGAGCTACAACAATGTTTCTTGGAGCTGGGGTGGGTCCTTCATTGTAGAGGGTTCGTCTTGCAGTGGATAGCGTCCGAGCCTTTTTTACTGTCGAATCAAGCGGTTCAGAAGCATTACGTTTTCTGCCACTTTGTACTGGTGTGGCAATACGTTCTATACGTTGTGATAACATCACTGAATCAACGTATTCCTTGGCATCGCTCGATCTAACGCTCGATTTCTCCATAGCGAACACTTAATAACGACTCTGTCTATCCAGTCAGTAATATAGTGCGAGTGCGCTCTATTCAAGCGTGACGAAAATCCAGGTAATCGGAGGTTTACACTATAGCTGATTGACCGGTTATCGATACAATAGTAAAGTACAGGTAGTGTTACTAAAACAGATCGCCAATACTACATGAATCTACAAAGTTTATCAATAGAGTTCCCAGAAATAAAGTCAGTCACCTCCAAATCACAGAATCCTATCAAAACATCCTTCCCGATCACTCACAACGAAAATTGTCCATAAATGTTCACAAAACACTATTTAAATACAACTTTTTAACTCCGCAAAATGTCAACAAACTTTTCATTCAAGGGACGTAACTCCTAGAATGATTATTATTTATCTTTACATTTATCATATTCATTGTTACTATGATATTTATTTTTGAGCCGCGTCACGACAAAACCAACATAATGGGTTTGCGACCAGCATGGATCCAGACCAGTCTGCGCATCCGCGCAGTCTGAACAGGATCCATGCTGTTCGCTTACAAACTCTATAACAAGTAGAGAAACCGATAGCGAACCGCATGGATCCTGATCAGACTGCGCGGATGCGCAGGCTGGTCTGGATCCATGCTGGTCGCAAACCCATTATGTTGGTTTTGTCGTGACACGGCTCATTTTATGATAAACCACTATCTCTATCTTAGCCTGGGATTCAAGCGTTGATATTTTTTTGCTTATTTATCACAAACGCGCTATTTCATACTCGTTCGTGTTATCATAAGATTTGCCAGACAGAAGCACATAAAAAGATCGACAGACTGGAACCTAGGCTATCTCTATAATCTCCTTAACCGTCATGATCGAGTTGTTCTTCGTAGATATGAAGAATTCGACATACTAGAGTTACACATCCTTTTACTTTAACAGAAGACAATGTTCAATCTTGTATTGCTTGCATTGAATATTTTACTGTCAAACATTTCCTTCTTGAATGCCATTATCGCGCACATGTAGTGGTAGATTTTATCAAGACAAATTCACTTAGAGATTTTTTTACCTTAGTCTCTACCCAAAACCCTGAGTAAGTAAACTCTAGAATCTAAGATTTAAATAATTCATTTGAACCTTGTTCGAAGGTCTACTTTTTATAGTGTTCGGCTCGGTATGGGCAATTATGTGCCAATGTCGATGTTAAATCAACAAGCAAGCAAACAAAAGCTTCTTGTATTCAATTATTTACTCGATTTCTAAGTAACGTATTTTTTGTACATTTAAGTACATTTATTTAATACTTTACAGTTCTCTGCGTATTTACATGCATAATATAATACTATATACTATAAACTTTTTATTGTATTAAGATATATCTTTTTTCACACAGTAATAAACAGATGAGCATGTACATTAATTTGGAAATAATAAATTTTATCTCATTGATATTATTTGAGCCGCGTCACGACAAAACCAACATAGTGGGTTTGCGACCAGCATGGATCCAGACCAGCCTGCGCATCCGCGCAGTCTGATCAGGATCCATGCTGTTCGCTTACAAACCGTATAATAAGTAGAGAAAGTGATAACGAACAGCATGGATCCTGATCAGACTGCACGGATGCGCAGGCTGGTCTGGATCCATGCTGGTCGCAAACCCACTATGTTGGTTTTGTCATGGCGCGGCTCATTTGGTTTTGGTCCTTCAGGATCATTTTTCCCCTATATACTCGTAGTGTAGATGATTACACCGCTTAAGCTGGTGCTACGGCACAAGGGAGGAGTTGTATTTTCCTTTAAACCTAAACAAAACCGAGTCCGTCTTTCTCTCACTGCCCGCGATTAATCTGCCCTTTTTAGATTTTTGTTTGACTTGACAGCTTTACAGAGTGTATTATTCAAATCTTTAGCATACTTTACATGATTACTATATTTCTATATACAGTACAAATAAAACGTACAAAAATGATTGCCCAGTATACAAGTGAACAAAAGTGGGCAAAAAACATTAAATGTGTTGCCCCTATATGCTTTCTTTTTAAAACTTTTATGTTCAGTTGTAACTTTGAGTTAGTATGTTCATTTTGAATACAAATATTCGTGTAGCCAATTGACAACCCCTAGTGTTACATAATATTCAATTTGAGTTTCTTTGGGTACAAAGCTTTGCATGTGTAAATGTCACATAACCATTAGAATCATTTAAAATTAATTTGTGAACGGCAGTGTCGTAATATTTACTATCTTTATTTTCAAATGGCATCGCAGTACCTTTATACAAATATTAATGTTTATATTCCGTCTTATATATACAAATATATATTATCAGTTCAACACAAATTTCTGATTTATTGTTTAAATCACGAAATACATCCACCAGAAATAATGCTGTCAGGAAAGACAACTGACAAAAGACAAAAAAAAACGAAATATGCATGCAATACTTCCCCTTCTGCATAGTAACCTCTAATTTATATTACATGTATAAGATTTTATTCAGAAAAAGACGAAATTGGATATTTCAGATCATCTATTTTATCGGAGAGAGTTCGAACAATACTACGGAAGAGCATTTGTGCAAGGTGTTTGTTTTTTATCAACTCAAAATATTGAGTTACATCCATTTGCTCATAGTTTTTACACTTTTTTTACAAACATTAAAAAAATTCAACCGAAATTTTCAATGTGGACAATTATTTTATGTGTAACATTCACGCAAATTTTGGTATAATCTTTTTAAGAAATTGATGAAACAATGTGGAGTTAGGAAAGCGGAAAGGGTCATAGAATTTCCTCATTTGAAAATGTAAATGTTAGGCGTGTTGAATGTTGCGTGGGAGTTATCAACAAAACAAAAATCCGTGTCCGTTACCCAAATCATTTTTCTCTCGTGTACTGGAACGGTCAACATTCAACATGACTAAAATGAATATTAATTTTGTTTTCTTTAAATTGGGAGAATAAAAGAAAAATGACTTTCTTATCCATCTAACAACTTTTTCATTCTCGGGTGTCATAGACTTTATATAACATCAATGCTAGTCATAGTCAGTGCATGTAAAACAAATGAGCCGTGTCATGACAAAACCAACATAGTGCGTTTGAGACCAGCATGGATCCATACCAGCCTGCGCATCCGCGCAGTCTGATCAGAATCCATGCTGTTCACTTACCAACTCTATTACAAGTAGAGAAACTGATAGCGAACAGCATGGATCCTGATCAGACTGCGCGGATGCGCAGGCTGGTCTGGATCCATGCTGGTCGCAAATGCACTATGTTGGTTTTGTCATGACGTGGCTCAAATAGATCACTGCCAAAAATCTGGTACATTCTAAATACATTCATGCTGTTAACAGAGGTGTAATTTTTATCTTTTCTTTGATAAATTGACTTTCGTTCATATTATTTATTTTTCTTGATTTTAAACATAATGTACTATAAACTAATGAAGGTATATAAAAAAGAACACAACAGATAAAGAAAATGCTGTCTGTCAACATTCATACATCCGTATTTATTGTTTTATCTCATGAAACTAATAAAAGTGTTGCAAATTTGAGTCGCGTCACGACAAAACCAACATAGTGCATTTGCGACCAGCATGGATCCAGACAAGCCTGCGCATCCGATCAGTCTGATCAGTCCATGCTGTTCGCTATCAGTTTCTCTACTTGTTATAGGTTTTGTAAGCGAACAGCATGGATCCTGATCAGACTGCGCTGGTCGAAAACCCACTATGTTGGTTTTGTCATGACACAGCTCATTTCTTTAAATTTAAAAGTGTAGTTTAGATAAATTAAAGACATACATGTAGATCCATTACCAAAATCAACTAACTTCTAAAATAACATAATAGGAAAGTCATATTTATATAATAATCATCTCAGTAACATATATGCTTTGTGATCAACAAACGTTCATGTGCAGCTATATAGATTAATTCAAAAATAACAAAAATATATCATCATTGAGAAATACTACATTCATTCATTCATTCATTCATTCATTCATTCATTCATTCATTCATTTATTCATTCATTCATTCATTTAACAAAATAAATAACAACAATATATCATCGTTGAGAAATGCTACATTCTATCATTTAACAAAATAGATAACGACAATATATCATAATTGAGAAATGCTTCATCATTCATTTAATAAAATAAAGAAAAACTATGTACCGTCGTTAAAAAATGCTATTCTATCATTTAACGAAGTAGATAACAACAATTTATCCTAAATGAGAAATGTAAATGTAATATTTATTCATTTCACAAAATAAGAATGACTCATGCATTCATCACCATTTCAAATAGAAAATAAAACTATAACCAAAAGAAATTCTAAAAAGCTGGAGAAAGAATGATCCCTCGGAAGCTTTAATTACAATAAAATTAAATGAAAAGTGCAGACTCGGTTTGATCGAAAAAGTGCGACACCCTCACACCCCATAGCACCGACTTGAGCGGTATTCAATTTTCTGGATTTATGATCTCAAAATTCAACTTACAGTTAATTAACAGTGAATCTGACATCTTTTTACGTTGTACCAGGCAGTATCAACTATTCCATATATAAAAAAGTATAATTCAGCTTTAAAAAACAGTAAATTGCTAATATCGTTTTCATGTTATACATAACACAGATTAAGTTTTTAAAGAACACATTGTTTGAATTGATCATAAAAAAAACGATTATCTTTCACCACGATAAATAAACCTTAAATGGACTTGTCCACATTTCAGTTTGGAGAAAAGCATTTGCCACTAAAGGAACGATTTCGAAATATAAACTGAATGAATAGAAAACAGTGCAGACTATGATCAGAACGCCCGGATGTGATGGCTGATATTTATCTGCACTGACTGCACGGGTAAATAGCACGGTAAAGGTTAAGTAAAACATACTGTGCAAAAATTAAGTTCCAATAAGTCATTTTAGTTCCAATAAGTAAATTTTAGTTGCAATAAGTTATTTCAGTTCCAGTAAGTAATTTCAATTCCAGTAAGTTATATTACTGTTACATGAAATTTGGTGTTATACATAATATAATGATATCACGAATTACATGAATCTAAGTGTCATACGTAATATGTTTTATAACGATATCACGAATTGGTCATTTGAAAGCAGTGCCTTTTATATTATTATCAAAGGATATAGTGAGCATTGAAGTATCAATACATACAAAAGACATACAATTGAGTTATTATCAACAATTACCAAAAATGACTCGTCCCTTAATCTGCTGCCTTTGCGGAAAACAATTTGTCCTACTTTGATTTTGGAAAAGTTCTTCCAAAGGAATGAATTTCTTTTACAAAAAAGCATCAAGCTGCAAGTAGTGTTATGCCAGAAAAGACTAAACCGGAAGTACAGGGCTGGTCTGTCTTTATACTGGTTTTCCAGAAGAACTCCACTGACGTGCAAAGGCATAAAAACATATAAACATAAAATTGAAAATCTTTCAAAAATCGAGTGTAGCACTTTAAATGTAAAAATCTGCACAAAGGATATCAAAGAAATATAGACATAATTAAATTTCAAATCGTTCTTTTTTTATGCGAAATTTGATTTGAGTGAAAGCGTTGCAACGATTTTCATTTTTGTGCCAATTTTTACAATAAAAATAACTATACTTTTCTGATAAAACAGGATGAGGGAATGACAATTTGCACACAAATTACTGGACTTGACCTTATTCAATTGGTACCCAAATCTTGGGAAAATAAATTCAAATCCGCAATGTCAAAAAAACTCAGTGGAGTCCCTTTCGTAATGAACCCTCAGAATAATCAGTAACTGTTATTACCTCAACACATTGAAAAATTCTACAATAAAAGCTAAACAAAAGATTCTTCATGACAAATGATTGCTCAATTATTAAATTGTTCTATCAAAATCAATGTTAGCAAATTTCCCGATTGTTTTAATAAAAAAATCAATTCAAAACAGCGTCAGTCCCATTTTGATTACTTTGTAAACTCAAAACTATTGAATGTAATATCATTCTCTGAAGATGCAGAAAACACCACTTTTCCCATCTCTCGTAATATTGCCAACTCTACAACCGTTGTGCTGTTTTGTAAATAGTGATCACCGACAAGGATCTGAAAAAGTAAATAAAATAGAATTATTAGACATGATCCTGTTAACCAACTGAAGAATAAATATAGAAACATATCTCATATATGACGCAATTATGAACAATTTGTTTCAATTCCTAATGTTACGGTTCAAAACTGTTCACTATCTTGGGGAGAAAATGTGTAAGCGGCCGGATAGCTCAGTCGGTATAGCCGCGGAGCGGTATTTGGAGGGTGCAGGGTTTGAGTCCCGGTCAGGCTGCACATTTTTCTCACCCTGTGACATTTGGCGCCCAACGGGGGACCGTGACTGTATATAGCTCAGAGTAAATTCACATTGCTCTGTAACTCTGTGAAATCCGAGGACAAATTTCATTAGAGCAGGGGAGTATGTTACGGTTCAGAACTGTACACTATTTAGGGGAGATGATGTGTAAGCGGCCGGAACGCTCAATCGGTAGAGCCGCGGTACGGTATTCCGAGGGTCACGGGTTCGAGTCCCGGTCAGGCTGCATATTTTTCTTACCCTGTGACACTAATAATCTTGCTTACCTGTATTTTACCGTCGCTGATAACAAGTGAAAACTTGCATTCATTCAACGGACACATGGTGGCCCCATCGAAAGTGATCACTCTTCCTTTTAGAGCGTTACCGTTCACTATCCCCATTTCTGAATCTTTCTCCCTTACGCTAATGAAGCAAATCCATGTATTTAATCAACGAAAAGAATATTAAAATGATACACGAAAAAAGTAAAAATAAGAAAATAAATAAGAATATGAATATGAGAATCAAATAGAATATGAAAAAAAGAATATGAAAATCAATAAGAATAAGAAAATTAATAAGAATATGAATATGGGGATCAAATAGAATATAAAAATCAATAAGAATATGAATATCAATAAAAATAGGAAAATTAATAAGAATAAGAAGATCCATAGAAATATAAAAATCAATAAGAATAAGAATATGAAAAAAGTATATGAAAATCAATAAGAATATGAATTTGAAAATCATAAGTATATGAAAATCAATATGAATATGAATGTGAAAATCAATAGGAATATTAAAATCAATAAGAATATGAAAATTAATAAGATAATGAAACTCAATAAGAATGTGTAAATCAATAAGAATAAGAAAATGAAAATCAATAAGAATATTAAAATCGAAATTTTGCATATTCATTACTTTATAAAATTAATACAGAAGCATCTTAAGCCCGTAATTTTGCTTAATCATTCATTTACGCATTCTTTGACACATCATTTTGGATGTTGAAGTATGAAATTCTGGTTAAGTTCTGATGTTGAATATCGAATGATTATTTGACAAGCATAGTCTTTTTTCTTGAATGATTCCTCTAGATGAAGTAATGTTGAAGATAATCCAATTTTGTTTAATCATAATTTGTTTTGAACATTGGTTCGCCAGTTATAAATCATTGGTACATTGTATGTAGTGAAGTCTTATATTTTGGGAAAAGACAAATGTATGAAATTATTTTATTAATGAATTTAAGTTATATGTGTTTCTTTCGAATGAAAAAATTGATAAATCAAATAATAATCTTTTGTCTTATATGGATATATAATGATTAAAATAAAGATTCTTAACGAAAACAAGCAATAACCTATTTACAATTCAGCAGAGTATTTTCAAAAGGCAGCCTGTCCGCATAACTCAATCGGTTACAGCGCGAGACTTGTAATCTCGACATTGTGGGATTGATCTCCGGGCTGGCCAATTAAATTACTAAACAGTCTTTCTGATCAGACTTTAAATCGAGGCCATGCATACGAGTACTTAAGAATCAGAGGGTGTTTCTAGAATCTAAGCACTTTTCTATATCTTGCAATATCCTCCAAAAATCTAAAATGACTATTATAAAGAAAGGACGCCCACACTCAAATTATATCTTGTTGTCAAAGTAACGTAATGTAAACATTTCATTACACATGTTCTATATTTCAATGATATTTAGAATATTACCTAAGACTCAAGCTCCAGAATGATTTGCTGCCCTCGCCATGCATCAACAAGATATGGCTTAAAATAAAATAAATTTAAAAATCTCATTTCTTCCTAAAAATCATTCTTGTTTTCGAGGGAAATGAACTGGACATTGGTACAATCGTATCCTAGCAACGAAATGCTGCAGTATGACTATTAGTTATTTTCTACTTTATCATTCCTGGAAATGCAAAACTCACAGTTTTTGGCACAGGGGATAAAGTTAAATTCAGCAGAATAAAGTATTTGTGACGTTGAATGAATAAAATAAATCAAACTATAAACGCTTAGTTCTGATACTCAAAGTTTCAGTCAAGTTTTTCAAAATGAATGCATTTATTTTAATGATTATACATTATGTGGACAAATATTTGCAGTGCATATTTTACATATTCTTCGATATTTGAAAGTGTTTAAGAAGCATAGTTATATACAAATATAAAATTTCACTTAAGTGCGGTTACAACCTTAAGAACAACATACAGAATCTTTAAGTCAATAGGTGTTGCTATTTAGTTGAGTAGAAAGAAGCACATATTTTTTTAAATATAAAACAAATACATTGTATTGTAATGAAATAAAAATCGTTACTAAAATACAGGTGACGTTCTAGCGAAATTAAAATCCAGCCTTGACCCTATCTTGAGAGGTCCGGTAAAGTTAAAAATGCCATCTTCTGTAGCTAGTCTTTCTGGTGAGATCTTCAATAACACAATCACAAAATAATTCAAAATGCGTATCTTAAAAGAGTAAAACATTAGCCACCGCCTTGAAGGGTACTAGCTCGACGTTTTCTAAATTCTCAAGTCAAACACATTAGAGGAAGAATTGTGATGATTACTCCTAAAAACATGATTTTCTTGTAAAGATGAAATTCAAATTTTATATTTGATATTGACGGTCAATGTCATAATTAAAAGGTTAAGGTCATATTCAGATTAATCATCATTTCAGTCATTAGTGTTTTTTTATCCAAGAATGGATTAAATCCTAAAATAAATAAACAACAATATTAAGACAGTTAAGGAAATTTCAATAATTTGACCTTAACAAATTAATTCGAGCTTGACGGTCAAGGTTAAATTTAAGTTTAAGGTAATATAAGAATAATTCAACGTGTTGTTGTTGTCATGTGTGTTTTGTCAGATGGTTAATCAAATATGTAAATAAATAACAAAGCGATGACAATTAACGCAAATTTGCAAACTTCAATAACTTGAACCTTGCGGTCAAGGTCACTTTAAGGTCAAGTTCTGTCAATTTACGAAATTTCAATAATTTGACAGTGAATAAATGTCAACTAAAGGTCAAAGTCATATTTAAATATTTTTTAAAAAGAGGTTTGTAAGCTTAAGTCAATGTTTGAACTTGACAGTCAAGTTGATTCATTGGTCATATGTGAATTTTTCTTCTTTTGTCCTAGTTTAAATAAATCTATAAATATATATAACGAAGTTATGGCAAATTGAATCAAAAATCATTTATTTGATCTTTAATGTCAAGTTCAATGTCGAATTTAATTAGATTATCTTAACTGTCTTGCCACAAGAATTGCTTCGGACATGTATTAAGACAATCAATAAATTATTAACTTTGTCATATTTAAGTATACCACAGAAACTTTGGCATTATAATAATTTGAACATTAAATGTGTAGGTCATTTATACGTAAAGGTCAACTTGAGTTTAATCCTTTAAGACGTTTAATTAATGTAGTTGTGCTCAAGTATGAAGATAATTCATCCATAAATAGCAAAGTAACTGTTACAGCCGCATATTATAGGAAAAATAAAAGAAATCAATAATTTGTCCTTTAAGGTCAATGGCATTGATGAGTGAAGGTCATAATTACAATAGTTTACTTAAAGGTCTTGTCAAAATGATTTTTGTGTCCAAGTGAAGACAATCCATTCATAAATAATGAAGTTATAGCCAAGTATAGTAAAACCAAACAAATTGAAACATTATATCTCTAAGGTCAAGGTCTACTGCACTTGAAGGACTTGTCCAAAAGGTTGCTGTCTCCAAGTCTGAAGATAATCCATTTAGAAATATAAAACAAAATTGCCAATGATAAAGTTTCTGGTCGACAACGACAACCTGATTGTAGCAAAACATTGAAATATTGGTCCAAAACGTCGAGCTATAGTACACATAATAAATAGTTTAACATAAATAATGGCTACCTATAAATAGATAAATAAATTAATAAAAATAGGAAAAGAAAACAAATTTTTCTTCGACAAAATCGAGCTAAAGAACTATAACATAGTTTTACAAAGATATTGGCTACCAATAAATGAAAATTAACAAAAGTAATTAGAAAGAAGATCAAATAATATAAAAGCCAAACTGTTAACATTTTTTTTCTTCCTGTTTTTAAGTCTATAAACGACCGAAAAATTGACTATAAAAATGGACAAAACATACCGCTGGTTGAAAACCTTTTTTCGTGTACACTTTTTCCACGTATCCATATCCAGGTTCTGTCGTTTGAAATTCGTCGGAGGACCTTGTCTGTTTCTCGCATTTTCCTGTTTTGTCAGCTATTCTACTTCCAATAATGAAGTCCTGTGGGTTATAAAGGTTTATTTACTTATTCATTTGTTTATATTTATATATATATATTCATTTATTTTTTTTTATTTTATTTAAAACAATTTCTATTTATCTTATTTATTCAATATTTATTTATTTATGTTTTAATTTATTTATTTATTTATTAATTTATTTATTTATTTCATTTTATTTCATTTTTTTTACTCATCAATTTTTTTATTTAATTTTGATTGATTGTTTGATTGATGGATTGATTGATTGATTAATTGTAAACACAATTTGACAATTGGAATTAATAACATGACTTCTGAAAGTGACTTCAAACTACCGGAGAGTAGTAATTTAAATATTTACTCATTAGAATAATTCACATTTACAGGCAGCATGAAGAGGTTTTAGATTTACAATATTTTGAGCAGTGAAATGCACTGGAAGCAAGATAAAGGATAAAAGATAAAGAAAAGAATAAAGACACAACAAAAGCTAGTCTTCACAAATTCTTCATAATCCAGAAATAGTGAAACAAAACATTGAAATCTGAAAATAATTACTCTGAACATAAAATAAATTTCAGCTTATCACAAAATGCACAAAAATAAAACCATTTCAAAATTGTGTAGATCTGAAAAGCCACGAGACAGAGTTTACATCAGTCGCGGAAGAACTGAAACTTTCATCATTGGAGAAAGGATGTTTTGCGCACGTCATTTTTTTAAATAAACATTTGACGGCAAATATCATTTCATTCAGTTTGTTAAAATCAAAACAATAAAAATGCAAAGCTTAATAATACAAAAACGAAATAAAGTACGTTTCCTTACAGTACAATTGCACCAATCGTGAAGACCTTTTACTGATTGCAGTCTCTCAAAATATCTACTCTTAGAAAGATTTCAGCTCTATTTTGTAAATTATTAAGGCTTTTTGGCATGACGCCACTGAAAGGTATTTTCCGGAATATTATTCCTTTTGATGTAGGTCTAGACAAATAACTTGTGTGCAAAATTTCAGATCATTTGCTACCTCCATTTCTCCAGAAAAACTATTTGTGGAAAATGACCAACAATTGAAAAGCGCTGCAACGCTTTTAACTCAAATCAGAATAAAAAAGGTAAAAAAATACGATTTTCAATTTATTTTAGAGTTAATTTCTTCACTATCTACATATCTGTTTGTTTTAAGTGACCCATATGTTTTATGTAAGAAATCTAAATTTTATGTTCTTAGGCTTTTAGGCCTCAGTGGAGTTCCTGTAATCAAAGATGATATCTTTTATATAGTTTCGCCCATTCTTTTCTCGTTTTTGACTAACGTATTCTTTAACTTGGGAGATCATACGTTGCTTTTCATTGAATAGCAGCAAGAACGCGTCACATTTCAGGTTCTACAGTGACAGCGGTGTCAACACATCTGCTGATGTTTCTAATTTTAAAGTTTCACTATTTTAATATTTGAATGTTGAAGTCTGCTAAAGCCGGTGAAGCGAAACGTTTAAAGTATCTTGCTATAATCTCAACATATATGGCCAGGCTCAGTATTTTTGCCGTTTATGGCGTTGTGTATGGATTTCATTTGTCTCTATTTTATTTTACTGAGCGCCAATCCTCGTATAGAACTCATGTCAAGCATAAGTGGCGACAAAATTGACTCTGTTGACAAATACATTGCTGTAGAAACAGTTCTTTATGATAATATAATTATGAGCGTTTAGCTGTGGGCGAATTCAAATTGAAATATCACATCAAAATAATAAACTCACCCCGAGACGTTCACGAAAGTGAAGAGAAATTTAGAAGAGAGATAGTTGCCCAGTGAATCATTGGTCTCACTTGATGGACTCACTTGATCAGTCCACGCCGAAATTAAAATGGCCGCATAAGACTGTGCATTGATTTACCTGACTTTCATATGGCGAAAAAAGAGACATCATTTCATGAAGCTGTTACTAGAAATAGTGTATTGGACATAATTTTGAACAGTAAAGATGGCTAGCATATGGAAAGAATTGACAAGCCAAGTTAGTATTTTTTTACATTTCTAACTTGTTTTGGAAGATTCAGCTGCAGATCTAAGAGAATGACTATCGGTCATAAATATAGAATTTATTGTTTTATAAAATTATTACGAATTACTTGCTGATTTCTAACTTAAAAGTTTATTCGTGTTTATATATGAAAGCAATAAAAAAGAAAAAACAAATGTACAATGTATTTAAAACGATTTAAAAAGCTGATACTAGATAAATGCAATGGACTTATATTCATTTCAAAAACATATTTATTAGATCCATTGGCTGCCTAGAAATCAGATTACATATAAAATAGAATTTTAAAAAATTGTTGGAAGCAAAAAAAGAGAGAAAAAAAAACAATTCTTATAGACCAGCATGTAACTAAAATAGTAAAATACTTATTAAAATACTTACATCGTTTAGAATATCCATTGCACATTTGCGAGCGTCATGTCGTTTACCGCGAACTCGGAAAATGACCGTCTTAATTTTAAAACCATTTGCTAAGGAAATGATGTAGAATATCATACAAACGAACAGCCAAATAAAGCTTACATCCATGATGCGTGCTGCTCACTTGGTGGAATGAATGTGCGGCAATGTAAGCTTTGAATATTTCAAAGCAATGCATAAAAAGAAATATAATATTCTTATGACATCATAGGCGTTTAACATATCTAGAGGTTTCCATGGCTGGGATAATGGTGGTGATTTTGTAGCACAAGTTATTTTGTTATTCTATTATTTACTTTGACCTTTGATACTTTTATGTATTTGAACTTTGAGCCTACAGACAAAGAACATTGCCAGACTATGCCTAAAGTTACCAAAAAGACTTTGATCAAACACAATTCCAGCATTCATTTTCTAATTTGTAGATTCGGCATATGTGATAAATTAGAATGAAAATATGATGTTACTTTTCTCAAGAAAAATCAGCAGTAAGGTTATAAATACACTTGCAAAAAGTAACATATCGAGAAACATAAAATGTATGTATTATTCACCATTTACTTTAAAATATTCAAATTTATACAAGATGCAGTGATTATATATTGAAGTGTTGGTACACACAATGATCTACATTTAACGTGAAGTCAAACTTCATTTGCAATACTTTAGACATATACATGTACATTTGGCAATGAAATCATGCAAAAATGTATGTGAGTGTGTGAATGTGCGTATACGCAGATTTACACACTCGATAGATCAAAGACAGACACGCTTGAAGGCGTACACACACAAATACTCGTATATAAAGAAATTGACACTGAAAAAAAAATTGTTATGAATTTAAATACAAGTTGTGTAGCCATTGGAACAATGTATCTTTCCATTTTAATTTCCCATTTACCTTTTTTAAAAACATGGTATCAAGCAGGTACATAACAACGATGCATGTATTTCTATTACATTTACAAACATTATCTGTGTTGTTCTAGATTATGTGAACGAACAGGTACATGTACAAATGATCTGTATCTCGGAGTTTGGAGAGTTAATGTTGTTTTTAAAATTCTTCTTAAAAAGGCAATTAGAAGTCTTTGTAAGAATTTCAATATGCAGTACGTACTTAAAATGGTAAATAATTGAAATTCTGAGACATGTTTCAAATGATCTTGCCTAGGTATCAATAGCATAAACGGCTATTTATTTTCAAAACATGCACATGCATGTTCTGCTTATGCCTCAGAAACAAATAAATTGAAAGTGCATACGTGAATTTTATAACGTTTAAATTATGGTTTTAAAGCATGTTAGTTGCTTGATACTGGAAGAAAGTAGCGTTAAATTCATAAAATCAAGCAAAACGTAAATATTTTGACTTCCATACAAAATAATACAAAGTACTAAATCACTTTACTGTCCTAATTGCACAAAAGCAACAGAAGAAAAACGTTAATTCAGGTAATTGACCAAAGAGTAACTTTAAAGAAACTATTAAATTACACTAGAAATAAAAAACGTTCTGAGAAATAAAAATAAAAGCATTTCTGGAACATAATGGGCCTTTAACCTCTATATTTTATGTCTTATAATGTCTTCTAAAATCTGTAAATGTATTTTCGTCCGTGATGTTTATCACACGAGAGCTTGTTATTTTTATGATGGCAATATTCCTCACTTTATCCAATTATTTTCAATTTTTAACTTAAATATGTGAAGACCAAAAATGATTAAATATTGATATTTCTTTCTCTTTCTCAATAGATTTAGTATAGGAGCCAAACAGGACATTGTATTGATCAAGTACAAAAATGTTTTATAAAATATTCACAGAACTTCCTTTTGTTAATTGTTTGTTGCATATTATATATAGACATTTATTGCAGTGAAATCGACTGTTAAAAATACAAATATGTACCTGGAATTTCTGTATACATACATAAGCAAAATAGTGGAAAATTTAGCATCAAAATTTTGCAGAAATGAACTGATCATACAATAGTTCAATTTTTAATATCAGAAGTTCGGTTTAGTGCAGTAGGGTGTTAAATTAAAGATTGCATTATGATAAATATAATTTAAAAAGCAAGGGTACAACATCAGGAGAGTAAACCTCTTACCTAACTTTCAGCAAATATTGTATAATCTTGAAACTTTTCACATAACAGTTGTTTCGTTTCGTTGAAAAAAAAACCTGCACAGGAAGTTTTCTTCTGCTACACACAAATGGGGAATGTCAAACAAAGGGAAGTAACTATGCTTAATTCTTTATTTACTTAATCATAAAAAATAAAGCAAAACATTCTTGAAATTATCGATATAAGTATAACGAGCAATTTTGCACCGTAAGTATGTAATGCACATTTTGAAAACCTAAGAAATGTCTGTGTGCCAATTTCGAGACTGTCCTATGAGCTTTCTTTGGGTTTGACCTTATACGTAGCACATATCATGCATGCAAATCGTCAGTCACAGTACTATGTTCAGTATACAAACAACTTATAAAGAGTATTAAAGTATTTCAACAAGACAACTTGTGTAAATCTATTATTAAAAGGTACAAATATGTGATTTTTAATTATTTTTACCATATTTTTTCACCTTTTTACCTTACAAAAAGCACAAAATTGAAAAAATATCTCAATAACACAATTTTAACACAATGGATAATAAAATATTGTAATATTCCATTTGTATTATCACCACAAACAGTCAACAAAAGGGTATTTTCTTAATTTTCGGACATGTTGGCGGCCATCTTGGAAAATGGCGGCCTTTTGAATTTTTCAAATTGGGTCCATAGCCCATAGCCTATATAACATATATACTTTGAACTACCATAGCGCAAAGTTTCTTTCTTTTATCACAAGGTGAACAATTTCACCGTTTTCAAGCACCATATGATCCCACTATATTGTAATTTTTTGGCTTGCAGCCATTTGTTTTGAATAACTTGTTCCGGTAAGGTGGTTTCCTGTTTCCAATTGTTTCCAATTGTTAGTGCATGATTGAACGGGAAACCAGCTGCAATCGTGCCAATCGCAACTTTTCGGCCTTTTCCGTCACTCTTCGGATTAATGATAATAGCCGATGTAGTTCCGATTGCAATCGTGACAATTCGGGCGATTCCGTCATAATGCGGAATCAGACGAAGTAATATTACGGAAATCTAAGCTATTTTAGTTACTTCGGTAATCCCAGTTTGTTTATATAAATAGGATTTCTATTTTTACTTGATTTATCGGTTTAAACCGTAATAAATTATAAACGAAATTGTTCCGTTTCAATTGTTTTTCAAGACGCAAAAGTTAGTTTCTTTAATAATTGTTTTTTGTCTGTATTAGTTTTATACAATAGAGAATGGTGACTGTAGTAGTATTCCGTCTTCAAAGGGTGGTCCTGCTTACCAAATCACGCATGATCGAGTTATATTTAGATCTACTGAACGCAATTCAACTTCTTGGTGAGGTAATCTAAAAATAGCCCATGCATATCATTAACCTTGCCACGTGCTGATCTACAGATAGCGCATCGTATTTGTGATCGTGTAACATAGTTGATACATGCTTATTAATTGTTATCGCGTAACGAAGTATTTTAGTGCATTTACTTGTCTATAAAGCAAACGAATGATTTCTCTGCGAAAAAGGGGAAATGAAATGTGCACACTTGTTTCCCTTCAGTTTGATAGATAGATCTCCACGTTAGTATTTTTACGATTGATCATTTTCTTTATTAGTTTTATACAATAGAGAATAGATTTCAAATCGTTTTGACAAAAAATATTCGTTTTTCCAAAAAAAACCCAACTAAATAAACCCTTTATGATATACAAATACCGTAATTCAAAAAAAATTGTGATAATAAATTGAAACCAAAAAAAAACAATTTTAAAGGGTTGGGATGAAGGCACAACTGTGCAAGCCTTTCCTTTTAAAAGAAAACTTTATTACTTTATTTGTTTTATTTCTTTCTTCTTTTTTTGTCTCGTTACTTGACAAGTAATCTGTATATGTTGCTTTTAATGTTATATATGATATAGAGACTGCATGAATGTAACTTAATATGATTATCCATTCAAGTATCCAAGTTTCAAACGCAAAATCGCATTTAGAAACAGCAATCATTAATATCGTATGCATTTGAGCCGCGTCATGACAAAACCAACATAATGTGTTTGCGACCAGCATGGATCCAGACCAGCCTGCGCATCCGCGCAGTCTGATCAGGATCCATGCTGTTCGTTTATCAACTCTATTACAAGTGGAGAAACTGACAGCGAACAGCATAGATCCTGATCAGGCTGCGCGGATGCGCAGGCTGGTCTGGATCCATGCTGGTCGCAAACCAACTATTTTGGTTTTGTCGTGACGCAGCTCATTTTTTTTATCCCTCAAAACTGTTTGTACACGTAACCAAGGTTCTAATGATTAAATGTAAACCATCGTTTCCATCATGTAAACGCGCGCGCGCGTTCGTACACACATACACATACAAAACTTATTTATTCAGTAAAGTTTAAGAAGATCGGATTTGACATGATAAGCATGTATATAGTCATGAACATAAGATTTATATTCTGTCCCTGATAACTGTTGTAAATGTTTGAAATATTCAATGATTATTTAAACTGGGTCGAACACTTAAAAAAAACAACAACAACAACTTAAAAAGCGGTGATTCAACAATAATCTAATTAATGGCTAATAAGCAGCCCTGTGTAAAACATACGGGGAAACAAAAATAATCTAGATTGGCAGTAGATCTACTGTTCATTTCTTTTTCAATTTGGCCAGGAATGGGCTGTATACTGAAAGTTAGTAGGCCTAATTAATTGTACTTCAGAAACGGTGTATGCATTGTTGTTGGAGATGACTTTTACCACTTTGTATCAGTGGCCGAAAGTTTCCCCTTAAAATCCACATAACTGTCACCAAAGCTTTAAAGATTGTTACGTTTATATTTTTAAAGTAAGATTTTGTCAGTTCTTACAAGTGTACTGTACTATACGCCTACACTGATGATAAAACTTGTCTATGCGATTGCTCCCCCTTACGACACTTAAGTAGTGTGTTAATTGGGTCTCGCTTCCGGTAAAATGGCAGCGACCATGCTGTAAATTTCTAATACAAAATATTCAATTTCTACATATTCCACAACTTCAAACAACAACCATGAGTGGCCCAAAGGCAAATAAATTATCCAAAGAAGAAATATCTGTGCTTGCGGACTCTGTTTATGATCTTCTTAGTGAGAAATTTGACAAATTACAAGCGAGTATCGACAAATGTGCTTCCGAGGAAACCAGCAATCATATCAAGGCCAACGTCCGTATAGGAAAATACGAGCTAGACCGCTTAGAGCAGTACACAAGACGGGAAAACGTAAGAATCCACAATTTCAAGTACGATGAAAAGGCACCTCTTCTCCTCAAACCGTGTAGCTTTTTAACAAATTAAAAACTTTTGACCAGTCTGACCCTGATGATTATACATTCACAGTGGATGATATTAGTGCTTGCCACCCTACAAAGTCAAAGCAACAGATCATTGTGCGTTTTGTGTCGCGGGCAAACTCCATAAACTATTCTCGTTGAAGAAACTTTTGAA